TGCAAATGCACCTGCAATGATTGATGTTCATAATGGACAAAACAATGTGCTAGCAAATGATTCATCTGGTGCACGCCTGAAGCGTGGCAGACCACTAGACTCAAAGGACTCAGTCCCTCGAAAGAAGAAGTTGATGGCTAAAATGAATCCAAATGAAATAAATGGGGAACCCACAATTCATAATTCAAATGCCCCCAAAGAGGCATAGGTACTTCCTGAAAAAGAAAATGTCATTGGTGAGACAAGCTCCCTTGAAGTGACAGCGGTACCTGAAAGTCAAGAAATCTCCATAAATTATACATCCACTAATGAATTGTGGAATTCTCAGTTGTGTATCAATAAACTTATATTCAAAAAGAATTGAAGCGGTTTGGCATGGATAAGGCTCATCCACTTAGCACTCACATGGTCGTTCGGTCGCTTGACACTAAGAAAGATCTATATCGTCCAAAAGGAGATGATGAAATGATCCTTAGTCCAAAAGTACCATGCCTTAGTGCAATAGGTGCTTTATTGTACTTAGCACAATGCACCAGAAATAAAGCACATGTGCCCTACCCTCAACAACGGACACTTCAACCATCCTGAATGAGGACAATGCAGCTTGTATTGCTCAGATCACAGGCGGATACATCAAGGGTGATAGGACCAAGCACATATCACCAAAGTTTTTCTACGCATATGAACTTTAGAAGAGTTAAGAAATTAAAGTCAGACAAATTCGTTCAAGCGATAACCTGGCAGATCTCTTCACCAATTTGCCAAAATGTACATTCCAAAAGCTAGTGCATGGCATCAGATTACGTCAACTCTGCAAGCAATCAAATTGGAGCATGCAAAATCAGGGGGAGCATTCAAGAGTCCTCTAACACAGGGCATACGCGCATTGTACTCTTTGTCCTTCGACTAGGGTTTTTCCTATCAAGGTTTTAACGAGGCAACATGAGCGCATTTAACATTACCCTTACGTCCCAAATGAAGTTGTACTCTTTTTCCTTTGCTTATGTTTTTTCCCACTGGGTTTTTCCAAGCAAGGTTAATGAGGCAACCAATCAAGGGACATGTGGTCTCCAAGGGGGAGTGTTGTAAAGAAAGTGGTGGAGCCCACATAAAGAAAGGAAAAAAAGAATGAAGCAATTTGTCTGCCATCTTCCCTTGTAACTAACCAAACATCACGGGTGCTTAGCCTATTTAAAGGCTTCACCTCTTCATTGCTAGAAAGTAAGAAGTGATAACACACTGAGTTGAGAAAAGAAAAGAGAATGAGAAATCTGGGAGTTAGTAAGATCTATATGAGAGGAAATTTTGTAAGTGTAAACACCACAAGAGCAAATACAATTCTACTCCTAATATTCAGTGTTACTTTCCATACTTTGATTATTTTATAGCAAAATTGATTCAAAGTTTATTTTTATTAAGGAATATTATAAATTAAAAGAATTATTTACTGTTTTATCGTGAAGAACCAATGTTAATTTGTAAGACACGTGTTAGACTTTAAAAGCGGTGGTGATGGTACATGTGGTATGAGCAAAATTGCTCTCTCATTTCAGGCCAAAAGTCACTTTTGGTCCCTGTAATTTGACACTTCAACCACTTTTAACCATGTAGTTTCAATTCCGTCAATTTTGCCATTGTAGTTTCATTTTTGTAGCAATTGAAGGACAATCGTATTTGTTGTCAAATTATTCTTAACTTCTGTTATCTATTCAAGGGTATTTTGGTCCTAGCTAGTCACCACAGCCTCCCATGGCCGCCCCAACTCCAGCACATATTACATATGCAGCCATGAGGAAGAAGTAGGAAATGGAGAAGAAGAAATAGAGGAAGCGATGTTGTTGAGATGCATAAACATGGATTAAAGAAGTAGATGCAGTTTCATCAAGCTTTATCGCATTTTGGTCCTTTCTTCCTTTTACCCAGAGAAACACTTCCTCGAAGCATCATTACAGATTTCTCTCTCACCACTAATACTTGGTGTTACTTTTCATGCATGATTCAACATTGCCTATTCAAACGAACAAGCAACTCTCTGTAGATCTATTGGGTGCATATATGAAACTTGTACATTTTTAACTCCCTTGATCAATGTGTTTGGATGACAACATTCTGTCTTCATCTTATAGGCAAACATGCTAGCTTGAATGTGAGTGGGGAGGAGACCGTTCTTGAGTGTTGGTTGGTTGGGAGGGGATGCAAGTTTGGACCAAAATGCCCCTTAATAGATAACAAAAGTTAGAATAATTTAATGGAAATTAGAATTGTCCTTGAATTGCCACAATTATGAAACTACAATGGCAAAATTGACAGAATTGAAACTATATGGTTAAAAGTGGTTGAAACTACAGGATGGAAAGTGACTTTTGGCCCTCATTTTAAATACCTCTCTTATTCTTCCCACGCAGCATCCTTAGTCGCGACTTTGCAAATTACCAATTGCAGAACGCAAGAGAGAGAGAGTCGGCAGGCAGCGCACAAATAAAAGCACAAGACATTGTTGCTTTGCCTGTAGAGGAAGAATCAATACTCGTCGTTTTGGCTTTTAGGGCTTGAAATTCTGTTCCACCTTCGACTTCATGGTGAGTCCGACTTCAATTTTCTCTTTCCTTTTCCTTTTCGTTCTCGTGATTGTGGATTGATTTTGTCGCTCAGATTGTTTAGATCTTATTACAATCGGTCTGTGTTTTCGCTTTTCAATTATTGCAAACTTGTTTCTATGATTCGTTGCTGTTTGGTTGCTCAGAAAACTGAAAGTTAAATATATAAGATGAAAGTTGAATGTTTTCACTCTTGGATGACAAAGTGAGTACTTTAGGCTTGGATTCTAAGCGATCTGTTTGACTCATTTTACACTTAATTTCCGCTTTCTTGTCTCTCTCTTTTTTCTTTTTTCTTTTTCAATTTTATGATATGAAGAACCTGACTTTATTAAATACTTATAGATTTTTTTTGTCTTTCACTTGTATCCATACCTGAAGTTTAATACTCATTAGTTTTTTTTTTTGTTCTTGTCATCGTTGTAGTTGATTTGTTGAGTTAATTAGGAAGTAGCCCACTAAAACTTATTGACTTGGTTTCTGCAGGCTTCTGTGGTGGCATTTACAGATGATGCGGTTCTTCCTGTAAGTCTTGTTTTTGATGCATTGAAGGAGCTTGGGAATGGAGCTACTGAAAACTGCAAACCTCAAATTATGACCGAAGTGTCTTCTTTAAGTAAGTTTCTTATTCCTCTTTGTTCTTTAATGTAGTAGCATTTCTTTTATTGTTCCCCCCTAAACAATGTAACCTACAAATTTGTTTAGATCTGTTATAAAATGGTTGGGTAATAGGTATCCAATTGAATGACCATTTAACTTATAGCCATGTAGTAGTCATGTTTTTCCTTTGTTGCAAGTCTCTTGGCCATATAATAGTGTTCATTTGATTTTGTTTTGACTTATGACAGGTCAGCTGCCCCTGGGGTCTTCCTCTGTGGACGTTGTTTTTACTCTTTGTAAATCGATTGAATTTCCAAGTGAGCAGTTGTTAGGGGAAATCTCAAGGGTCTTGAAGCCTGGTGGATCAGTCCTAATTTACAAGACTTCTGATTCTTCCACAGGGGAAAGTGATAAGGTAATTCATGTTCACATTGTCACATTATGGATTCAGTTTGAAGTGAGAAATCTTACTTCGGTTTTCTTGCAGACCACCTCTGTTATTGAGCGCAAGTTACTATTGTCTGGTTTTCTAGAAGCACAAGCTCTTCAAGGGAAATCAAATTTACCATCTGAGTTGTACTTTGGGGTAAGTTTCATTGTTACTAGTATCCATTGGCATCATGTTGTAATTTTACTCCTCTCCTCTTTGCATGTTAAATTTATAACATGAATCGGAATTCAACTCATCTCAGACTTCATACTAATTGTTTGGGCTTGGCTACATGGAACCTTATCAGGATCTAATTGGGATCCTACATTTCTTGTGCACTTCAATCCAATCTAGGGTTATATTCTCTATTAAATGTTGTGCAGTTATGCCGTTCACAATCCCTTTTATCCACCTCATCAATCTTCCTTTATTTTAGATGCATCCAAGTCGTTTGTACTGGTGCCCTTAAATTTTTATTTTTATGAAGCACATGAACATACCATCTAAAAGTGTTCTCTCATTGTTGGTTGATAATGGATCTGATGAACATGTCCAATAGCTTCTCTGATTTTGTTGGTTACTCTAGCATTTTTTCAAAATCTTTTTCTTTTTTTTTTTGTCTACATAAAAGAAAAGAATCTATGCGTTCATGATAACTTTATCACTGGATATACTTCGTGGATGGATTTTTTTGTTGATAAATTCTGGAATTTGTATGTTGTTTGTATATCATTGCATATGCTCTGTGATAGCTGTAGATTATTCAGCTGAGCTTTAATTTTGTTATCCTCTCTTTCTGTAGGTCAAGGCTAAAAAACCTTCCTGGAAGATTGGTTCATCCTTTGCCTTAAAAAAAACCACCAAAAGTTTACCAAAAGTTCAGATCAATGATGATTCAGATCTGATTGATGAGGATAGTCTATTAACAGAGGAGGACTTAAAGAAACCCCAGCCACTTCTAGGTAAGGCATCCTGGTTCTAAATTGTATGTTTGTCAACTTTATGAGATTCTTTCGGGGTTAACTGCAATTTTTGTGATTTTTGTAACCATGCACTGAGCAATGTACTTGTGCAGCTGGTGATTGTGAAGTTGGAAGCACAAGGAAAGCTTGTAAAAATTGCACTTGTGGGAGGGCTGAAGAAGAGCAGAAAGTGGAGAAGTTAGGCTCGACGGTAGATTTGAACAATTTCAAGTCGCAATGTGGCAGTGTATGTCCTTTAGTTTGCTTATCAATATGCTTTTTAAAGTGTGTTTGCTGTTTGTTCTGTTTTGTTTATTTTGCTCTGAAAGTTGCATTTTACAGTGCGGACTAGGTGATGCTTTTCGATGCGCTACATGTCCTTTTAAAGGTCTTCCTCCATTCAAACCAGGCGAGAAGGTATTTGTTGGATCTCTAAATCAATCCCACCCTCCTCCCTCACCCCTCATTTTTAACGGTCATCTCTTTTCCAGGTGTCTTTGTCAGCGAACTTCCTTGCAGCAGACATCTAAACTAGAACCGCTCTCTTGTTTTGGGGGATGAGGTTTTTGGATAATTAAGAATGGTGCTACGTGGTGATGGGTTTCTCCACAAGTTGGGTTACTGCTCTCCAGATATTTGAGATTTTGGGTTGTAGTTGTTCTGAATTGAAACATAAAATATTCTTGTACCTAATAAGGATGATATTCGTTTCTTGGATTAGCATTTGTTACATTTGTTACATTTGTCTCAGTACCAATTGCTTTCGTTTTATGATCCAAACCTTCCAACATTTTCCGCTTTGAACGACTCAAAAATAGTCATGTATATAACAAAATCAATTCAACTCTAAACGTGTTTAAATCCGTCAGGATCATAGTCAAACATAAGAAAACATACATATACTACCACCTGCATCAGCAGCACCATGTTCAGCTACGTATATTAGGTATTAACCTGCTGAGAGAGAAGCACAAGCAGCCCTTGCGGACCAACTAATATCTCATTCAGGAAGCTAATCAATCCAAACCAGACCACAGGGGTTACATCCACACCGCCTAAAGGCGGTATCAACTTCCGGGTTGGGATGAGAAGTGGCTCTGTGGGAGCATAAGCTACAACATAAGGGAACTTCCCCACTGGAATTTTGGGGTACCAGGACATGACTATTCTTATGATAAACAGAAAAGAAAATAGCGAGAAAAAAGGGCCTAGAAATCCAATAGCAAGCTTTGCTGTAGCAGGGTCCAAATCTGCCAGAACCAACTTGTGCATTAAATTTGAGAGAGTATGTGATGCGTCTGGCATACCAATCCCAAGAATGCTGGAAACTGCATCCGTAATATGAGATGGCTCCCCTGAAGGAGGTAAGTATAATGGTGAAAATGCAATGCTAGGAGGATAAGCTCCAACTTGGACCAAACATAAGGAACATTGTGCAATTTGGAGCCCTTTCTTTGGATGCCTTTTACTGGTTGTCTTAAAGCTTTCCTGAAATGTTTTGGAAAATTCAAATTACAAGACATTCAACATATAGGAACAGGCATCCTGCAACAAACCCTGCAAAATCGAGGAGGAGAATGGAGAAACAGAGCTGGGAACTTACAGTGACAGTGGGATTTGTATGCTTGGATATCCTCATCCTTGAGGGCCATGGCCATCCTAGAACAAATTGGAAACCATGAAATGAGATGAAAATCTTCTCCCTGGGGCCTAACCAAAAGAAAAAAAACCATTTCATTAAATTGGTACCTTTAATCTGGACATGGTTGAGAAGATAAGAACAGGTAGCCATAGAGTGCGGACGGAGAAATTGAACTATGAATCAATGAAGCGTTATCCTTTGAACGAGAGGTTGGGGAGGTCCACTTTTAAACATGTGACCGGCAACGGGTATTCTAGGTTTCTCTTCTCAGTTAAATTATAGTTTTATGAATTTCAGAAGAAAATAAATAATTAAAAAAAATACCAGACCAGTGGAGTTTGAGAAATTGAGGGTGGCTGTGAAGTGAAGCTGTATCTAATTTGTAATTCTTTTTTTTCTTTTTTTTTTCATATATAATTTGGAAACTTCCTTTGCATTCTCCTGTAGTTACCCATCACTTCAGTTATTCCCCGATGATTAAATTCAAACGTAAAGAAAATACTAGAATCTACCATTCTCATATTTGAGAAAACTCATTCATGTTTTATAGGGAAATCTCCTTAGTGCACTTGTAACAGCATATAAAAACGGTTGTAGAATACAGTCATAAGATTTCACTTTTAGCAAGCAAATAAGGCAAATGCTTAATCGAATTATCAGAGGAAAAATAAAATTGATTGAAATCGCAAAGGTCACAACCACCATACTAACAAAGTGAGTCTCGTGGTGGGGGGCGGGGCGTATATGCCTTCCCCTCTTACAATCACCTCTTACATGATGGGTAGCTATGATAGAAAGGCGTATACGACCACCCCGCCCCAAAAATTGTGCTTACTATGATAGTTCAATCAAAAAAGAATATATAACAAATAAATGAAAGGAAAAGGAAAGAAATAATAGACCTCATTATCGTTTACATACTACTTCTACTTCTTGTGTCTCTGTGTCTTCTTTCGGAAACTTGGCAAAAATCTTGAGAGAGAGCAGTGGGGCAAATATATTGAGATAGAATATGGGCATCCAAAGAACTGCACAAGGTTTTGGCAATCCTTTTCTCCAACTCCATCATTTAAATGATTCAAGTAGGTCTTTCCCTCGTAAATAAAACAGAGTTGCTGCCACAGAAGTATGCTCAACCCTATCCCCAATGAAACACTTGAAACAAACAGATACACCAGAACAAGCCCTCTGGGGGATAAAAGCACTACAGATTTTAGCAAACCATATATAATCTCACGGATAGCTCTCATAGCAAAATCAATGCCATACCCATATGAGTGGTCGAAGGGTTCATATGTTATGGATGGCCAGATATGCCAACCTACATACATGGTCATGATAGAAATATAGAATGTACTGGTGACAACTGAAATGAGTAAGGCAATGAAGTGTCGGTGGTTAGCTGCACCAACACAATTCCCAATCTGCATCAAAATTATGCAGCAACAATTCATTAATGTTAGAATGCAAGTCATGAGCTCAAAATCCAAACCATACTTTGTAGACACACAGCAGGTATGCACATATATTGATGGACTTTTAGATACCCCCCAAAAAAAAAAAAGTCAGAACCTACAATAAAACCTTTTCCTTTTACGGATGTATTTATTCTTGCAACAAGGATTTCATTTTATAAACATTAATGTATCCATAGTTAAACAAACTCTAAGAATTAAATTTCAACAAGGGTTCTAATTTAGCGGAACTAAATTTCAACTTCAAACAAAGTTTCCGTATGAGCATAACAAAATTGTGAAACATTGTTTTTATCAAGCTACCTTGGAATTTCCATTAACTCATAGATTCTTTAATCCCGCAGAAGTAGGTGTTTTACCTTTGAGTAACATATTGTTCATCAAAGCCACTGATGTCACTAGTTTTCCTAGCTTTAATGGTGACTGGAAATTTATATTTCCACTCTCCTGTAACTGGTGGCATTAGGTCTATATCCAGAAGCCCTCTAGGAGTTCAAAAGAGTCACAAGTAGATGGCTGACTCACAACTCCGCAAAATTACTTTCTTCTTTGCCTCTTGTTACTGTTTTATTTTCTTCAATAGCATATATAATTGTTCTTAATATTCTATCCTCAGTATCTTAAGCCTCCATATTGAAAATCTACAGCAAATAAAAACAAAACCACAGCTTCCAGTTGAAATTTTCTTTTTTCATTGAGCTTCACTTTCGACTCGCTTCCCCAAGCTACTAAGAATTATCACATGGTTAGAACTTATGTAATTAACAGCTAATGCATTTACAATAGACAGCAAGATATTCTGTAAAACAATTGTCTATTACGACATATTTATGCATTGAGAAGATGTCAACACTTACAAATGGGCAGTGATGATCCATGTCCAAAATACACATTCCACAGGATCGGCAATGATGACTTCTAGGTGACTTTGGCTTTGAGCAGAGCTGACAGAAGGTATAATTCTCAAGGGCACCTTTCCCCACAGCTGGATAGCTACCCCACACTACGCATGGGGGTGTTCCAGCACACGCAAACGAAGCAGAACTGAATGTATAAACAGTAGTTACAGACAAGATGAAGGTAATGATGGAGTGAAAAATTCCATGGAAATAGCTGATAGAGAAAAGAACAGGGAATGCTGCCCACACTCCACCACCTGCAATTTCAATATTTGCATCAACTCCTCACTTCCACTTTCACTTTTTGAAGTTAATGTACACCTTCTTCATCGTATTTTGTGGAAAAAATTTAACCATTTTTCATACATCAATTAAAATTTTGCCTACAGAAGATAATATGGAAAGTGAAACTATTATACGTATGCCTGATTATGGACAAAAAATATGTCAACACCTACACAAGCAAAAAATAAGCAAAATGGAGAAAGATTCTAATACAACTATAAGAGCTACAACTACGTACATATCACAAAGAGCATAAACATGAGGAGAATGCAGACAAAGCACCGATCCCGCAAGCGTCTCAACCAAAAGTACTTGCATTCTCGTTTCCCTGCATTCTGATTTGTTAAAGCTCCACACCAACCACATTTGAAAACTGGAGCATGTGATGGAAGAAGGAGGTGTAGTCCACAACCCCAACACGTGACGTCATAGTCCTCCATGACAGATGCTATAAAATGCTCCTACATGTAACCCTCCAGTAAGCAACGAGGAAAACTACACAAAATTTGCAGACATAGGATAGGAATTTTATTCGATACGTCCTTGTGGAAATAATAATGTAATCGATGTGATATAATACAGGCATGGTTATCACAAAATGAGGCAGTGGTAAGATCCATCACAGGTGTTTAAAGCAGGTAAATATTATAAGTTCATGTCCCAGCTCTTTATCAATATATTTGTAATCTGACACCCAAATGTATCCTTAGGATGCTAGTTTTATTGAAAACCAAACAATCTAACACAATATATTTCTTGCAATATGAATATTAAACATTAACTGATAAAAGTACATTTTAAAATATATATATATATATTTGACAAAGGTAAAAGACCCCAAACAAAAAATAAACAATTAAAAAGAGGAGAAAGCAATCGAACGTAACCCAGGTAGGTAAGCAATTGTACTCGGTCAATAAAAGTTAAAAGATAAACATGAAGAACAGGAACAGCTAGAGAATAATGCAACATAAACCACGCAAGCAATTGAGTTTGGTCTATTATCAGATTTAAACTAAAAGGGAGAAATTTATTTACAAAAATTCTGACTCAGTTTCACACACGATATCTTCCCTGATGAACTGGAACGAAACCAAAAACAAGAACAACAAGATTACATAAAACCCAAACGTTTAAACACCACCTACGCCCGCCCATAAAACAATCGAGAAAACATAACAAGAAGCCAACAGCCAATGATAGCAAACAGAAAATGAGGGTACCTTGGGCAAGTCAGCCATAACTGGAGTTGCCTTTGGAGCAACTTCAAAGCATTCAGAGATTAGTGATGTCATGTCATTGCAGTTGAAGCGTATCCCAATTCTGCAAGGTCTTCTTCATCGACAGAGTTTCCAAGACCAATTGGGAATGTTTAGTGCCAAAACAAAAGGAATTGGACAATGGAACTTTCATCATCATCTTCTTGTTCATAATGG